CGTGCCAGGCGTATCAGCTCTGGCGTTTCTGGGTTGACAGAATCGGTTCCTAGCGTGCTGGGCGACATTCTTTCACAACTTGCCACTAATAGCAAGCCTCTAATTGCTGTTGCCGAAGTTCGCCTCGAAGTGACCCCAGATGAAACCACAAAAGGCGGAAATTCCATAGAAATACTTGATGTTGCTGAGCCAACTACAAAGCCAATGGCCGAGCGTTTAGAAAAAGGGAATGTATATCTTGCGAAGGACTTTGATGTGACTATAGGCACGGAGGCAACAAACGGAGTCCTTACGCTTTCCGGGACACCTGGTCGTGCACGTGGTCGTCCGAAGCGGACGAAGACGCCTCGAGGAAAAAGACGCGTACAACCAGACTTGATCAGATCCGAAGCTAATACAATATCTGATACTGGTTTGTGTTTTATCTTCCGCACCTTATTAACGGCCTAACCTCAGCTTAATACTGGAATACCTCCTTTATCCACTAGTGGTTTACTTGACGCCATTTTGAGCGTTGCCTTATCTGTTCTTAGAGTTAAATTTTTTTATTAGATTAGTCCCTTTATCTTTTAGTTAAATCTAAATTTAGCTGAATACCAAAGCATAACTTTAGCCTATACCGTATCGATGCGGATTTCTTCATTTCCTTTTCGAGGCAAATATCTTTAATCGAAGGTATGAAGACCAAGGTGGTGTGGTCTTTTGTATGGTCGCAGTCGCCTTTCGTTGTATAGAAGTTGTTTGACCTTGTTTTCGCAACTTGGTCATATTGATAGAAAGACCTAGAAAAATGCGCCTAGTCCGGAGTGAATTGTATGTATGATAATTTCCAGAGTCTGAACATGGACGTGGTACATTCCTATACGTTTCGCTGGCATCGTCAGTGAACTGTCATTCTTAGCACCACACTACAATTTGTTAAAGAAGCAAGTCCCTTTGTCTCTCTGGCGAGTTGTAGTGTGGTGCTATGAATGACAAAGCTAACTGACGATACCGGCGAAGCGTATGTGAGTGTAATACATCCACGGTCTGACTCTGGAAATTATCATGCATACTATGGACTCCTGACTAGGCGAGTTTCTCTAGGTCTTACTATCAATATGACCAAGTTGCGAAAACAAGGTCAAACAACTTTTACACAACTATATTTAGCTATTTTTATAACGAAATATAAATGTCTATCACGTATTCATATAACCGAGATACAAGAAAAGACTGCATTAAATATTTTGATTTTGTTATGGTTTTAGAATGTAGACACTATTGCAGACAAGCACATTATAGGTATGAAGACCAAGATGGTGTGGCTTTTTGTGTGGTCGCAGTATAAGCACATTATACATGTCTCCAAGAATGTAGTTTCGTAATATACTGTTACCATTATGATATTCTTTTTTAGTTGATACCATTGAAGTAAATTAAATTCAAGAATATTGCTTTTTTTGCATTATCTTGTTATGTATCTTTGTTTATGTACCTTTTTAAAAATTTGGACATGGTTATTAAACTTTCTGAAATTATTTTTGTCTTCACTAATTTATTTTGGCATAGGCCAGAGGAACCACTTTAAAAAAAATACTTGTAGGACCTCATATCTGCTCTTATTGTTTTTATTTTAGACATAAAATTACCTGAAACATCTGCGGTAATGTGGGAAAGGTAAGTTAATTATTCATTCTTGAGTTAACGTTTAGCATGCCTTTTCGCATGCCAATTATAGAATCAGATCGAAGATCTGAAGTTTAAGATGGTATGGCCTTTTGCGTGGTCGAAGTCTCTTTTTGTTGTATAGAAGTTGTTTGAACTTGTTTTCGCAATTTGGTTATATTGGTAGGAAGACTTAGAGGAGCGCACCTAGTCCGGAGTCCATTGTATGTATGATTATATCCAGTCGGACCGTGGACGTGGTACAATACCAGACGTTTCGCTGGCATCGTCCTTGAGTCTTGCCATTCTTAGCATCATACTACAACTCGTCAAAGAGATTAGTGAAGCCGATCCTTCGACCAAACGTGTGCTAAACTATTGTGGTATCTCTCCTGTCCTGGGCTATCCGCATTTCCTATATCCTGGTATCACGCCTTCACTGTTACAATTTTTACTGTGCTTATTTAGATATAGTGTGCTGTGCCCTTTTAAACGGCTTTCATGATAACCTTTCACAGTCCACACTGCTATTTTAATCCTCCCTTCACTCTTATGCTGGGGATACTGATCAGAATCTGCCATATTGTCACGCAGTCCTCCTTCCCTAGGTCTTATCAGAGTCTCCCTATTGTCCCGTAGAATCAGTCTGCTATGTCCCTGGTTCAAGTATTTCACTTGACTCCCGCCACTCCATCTGTTCTATTCGGGGCCTTAATACCCTTCTGTGTCCGGGCGACTAATTCGAGACTAAAGCCTCTGCGTTAGTTTCATGGTCAAGCCTTTGCTACATGTGGGGGTAAGAACGCCAGCGTTGAGTGTGGAGGGTTCTTATTAGAGCCGCTCAGAAGGGCACACCACACTACATCTAAATAACCACGGCAAAAATTGTAACAGTGAAGGCGTGATACGAGGATATAGGAAATGTGAATAGCCCAGGACCAAAACAGTTTAGCACACATTTGGTCAAACGATTGGCTTAATTTGTCTCTGGCGGGTTGTTGTATGATGCTAAGAATGACAAGACTCAATGACGATGCCGGCGAAACGTCTGGTAATGTACCACATCCATGGTCCGACTTTGGGAATTATTATCCATACAATGATAGTCTTCCTACCAATATGGCCAAGTTGCCAAAATAAGGTCAAATGACCTCTATAGAATCAAATGTTTAAATTAAAATATGTTTGTATTAATTTATCATACCTATTTTTAACTTTACAATTATTTATACTGGAAGCATTCTTGGCAAATGATTCTTTTCTGTTTAGTTGTACATCTAACGATAAGATCCCTTGAAATTCTGTGATGGCTTATCATTACAATTTTTCGATTTAAAAAAATGAGCTTTTTTTGATTTATTTCGTGTATATAAAGTCCAAGATGATGTGGCACTTTGTTTGTCACTGTCTTCTCTAGATTTATTGTGTTGATTTGGCCTCGTTTTCGCAAATTTTTCGAAGCGTCAGGAAGATCTTGTGGAGCGTAGCTAGTCCTGCGTCCTCTGTCACAGTATTTATGATGATTTCCAGCATAGATTCATTAACTTAGTGTATTCCCGTAGGTTTCGTCGGCATTGTCATTCTTAGCACAGTTACAATTTATAAAAATGACACATGATAAGTTATAGCCGTGTGCTAAGGATGGTGTCTCTCACTGACGATATCAACTACGATACCGGGAAAACGTCTTGAAACATATCGAGTCCGGGGTCAGTCTCAGGAAAGCAAAAGGTGCAGGACTAGGTGCGTTACGCAAGGCATTTCATTCTCCTTTAGGATTAAATATTTAATACATAATAAATAAAACGGATGTCACATATCTACATTTTAAACTTTAAATTATACATTTTTCTTTAGTTTTGGGTAAATTAGAGTTGGCATCAAATTTTGCTAAAATTCCATAGGTTCAAGAGGTTTTATTTTTCATAAAAGAAACATTTCATCATTGAATGAGATATGTAGAAATAGACAGTTTTTCTTATCTGAAAAACTTTAAGATAACTTTTCAGAAAATTGTGCATTATACTTCATTACGATTTCCCTTTTCCAATGGCTTACTAGTTCTTGGGTCATCCAAAAACGTTTTGCAATTATTTCTCTTCAGATTCGACCCTGAGTCATCGGAGCTATCTGTGAAAAAAGCTGCCGAAACAATGCATAGATCTGGTGTACCTAGCACCGGCACTCATTTACGATGCACCAAATTAGCTGGACGAAAAGTTGCAATACCCTCTCCATCTTGTCCTTCATACATCGATCTCACTACCTCTGCTTCAGATGGCGCGATATCAACACAAGATGAAGTGCCAAAGTCTGTCCTCGCCTCTGACGAGGCCCATGGCATTTCCGGGTTGTCTGTCGGACGTCG